CGATTAGAAAATGCATTTTATAATTGCGCTGAGCTGGAATTAGGAAGGTTTTTCTACAAATGGTAGAAAAATGGATTCCAAATGTTCAGAGAGAAAGAAGCAAAGCAGCTAGCCTTAAACCTGGAAAGGCTGAAGATTAAAGGGATGCAGAAAGATAGCAGCCTGTTCACCATGAAAGTAAGTAAGAAAGAAAGAAAGAAAGGAAGGAAGGAAGGAAGGAAGGAAGGAAGGAAGGGTACCTTCTTAAATATATATATTTTAATATATATATTTAAGAAGGTATCCTTCCTTCCTTCCTTCCTTCCTTCCTTCCTTCCTTTCTTTCTTTCTTTCTTACTTACTTTCATGGTGAACAGGCTGCTATCTTTCTGCATCCCTTTAATCTTCAGCCTTTCCAGGTTTAAGGCTAGCTGCTTTGCTTCTTTCTCTCTGAACATTTGGAATCCATTTTTCTACCATTTGTAGAAAAACCTTCCTAATTCCAGCTCAGCGCAATTATAAAATGCATTTTCTAATCGTCCAGGCAGGCAAGTACATTCACAAACCCCTCTGGCACCACCACAGGCTCTTCGTGTCAAGTGCGCCAGCAGCCCATCCTGCTCCCAGTGGTCAAGAAGGCCTGCAGCTGCTGCCACAGTGCCCTAGTCAGATAGATGTTGAAATGGCAGGAGATAAAATACCTGTAAACAATCAGACCAAGATAAATGGTTTGTCAAGAAGTTATATTGCCTAAAAACCAACATTTGATACTTGAGAAAGACTTAGAAAAGATGCACACAGTATTCTCTTTTCTGCACCTTAACTTGAATCTACTTCAAGATCTGCAAAATCCATCCCTGCCCCAACTCCACCCCCCACCCCCATGTAAGTAGTAGTTTGAGGCAAGAATGGCTGGGCTTGATTGGCCAATTTTTTGTAGGCAAGGAGATTGATCAGATTTGCAGAGTCCTTCATAACCTCTCCATTTTTTTCTTAACTTCTTGTTTCTCTCTCATTATTCTTCTGACTCTTCAAAGGCATACATTAACATGATTATTTCCTTCCAAATTGGAAGGATATCTTTAGCATTACCAGTGTAACTTGTATGCAACCCAAGTCCCAATGATTTTGATGTTGGTTCACAACAATCGAAGAAATTACAGAAAAAATCCATTCTAAAAGGCAAGCACCACTATAGAGAAGGCCTACTTGCCACATCCTGATAGATGACGTCGCTTAAGTGGAGGAACCAATAGCCTGCCAATCCTGCTGGATTGAATCAGCCAAATGGGGTTCCCTCAAATAATCAGACCCTATGAAATGTAGGACTTGATAGATAACAATCAGAATCTCGAACCAGATCCAGAAGCAAACAGACAATCAGTGTAGTTTGCAATGCAGAAGTGGTACGTGGGCATAACAAGGCATGCCCATTGCTACTTATACTGCTGCATTCTGGACCAGTTGATCTTCAATGGGATTCCTATGTAGATCACATTGAATTAGTCAAGCGACAGTGTGCCTAGAATATTGGTGACTGTATGAAGGGCTCCCTGGTGTATGAAAGGGTGCGACTGATTATGTATCATAACCAGATGACTATCTAGCCTTCCTGGTCACAACTGTTACTTGCTGTTCAACCAAGAGCCGCAAGTCTAAGAAGACCCAGAAATTATGCACCAATCTTGAAGGGGGAGGTGTGACACCATCCAAAACTAAAGATGGACTATCCCCAATCTAGGTGACCCAAACAATCTCAGCCACTTGGCCTTGGCAGGATTGAGTCAGAGATGGATCATCCCTATTCAAATCCCTGGCCAGCTCAGGGTCAAAAGATACAATTGGGTATTATCAGCACACTGATGAGGTTGAACCCCAAACCCATAAATGATTGCACCCAGCAATTTCATGTAGGTGTAGAAAAGGCAAGCAGAGGGAGCAGAACTCTCTATCACCTGGCAAAGGAAAGGACTAGGGAATGATCTCTCCCCCAACCAACACCAGAGAAAGGAAGAGAACCACCATATAATGGTCCCTCCAATCTCCAACCCATAGAGCCAGCTCAAAAAGACACCAGGATTGATGGTTTCAAAAACTGCAGAGAGATCAC